CTGAATGCTGAATTATAGCAGAAATAAATACCTGCTGGCTTTGTTTGTTTTACTCTGGAAGACAGCTTTGCAAAGTTCTTGAAAGGGTAAAATATGTCAAGGGTATAAAACAATGAATTATAAATCTTGTTCACAAGATTTCCTCCCTGCAGCACTGAGAAATCAGGCTGACAGTATAGCAGCTGCTCTCCTCTGTGTGGAAGGGAGGTGGGAAAGGGAAGACAGAAGTTAAGATCCACTCTTCACCTTCCAAGCAACAAAATAAGTGAAAGGTAATGAGGTAAAAATAGAAGAAAGTTGGCCATTTCCTACTTCCTTTCCTTTCAGCTACTAGGAGGTGCCAAAAAAGGATGGCACAAACATCAGAATAGTAGGGCTGTGTGAAACACCATTGTTTCGTTTCAATGTCCATTTTGCCCTTTTGAAAAGACAGTGTTTCATTTTGTCGTTTTCTTTCATTTCGAAGCACTGTCCCATTTCATTTAGTTGAAACTGTTCCGCTGTTTCATCCATAGGTTATAATGGGGGAATCATGAAAATGCCTAAATGCACAAGCTGGCAGCCCTCCCAGGGGTGTGAGCCCCCAGATCTGTGCCACGGATTTGAGAAGGCTGCCTCTTCCACCTGAGACTGGCACTGGGCAAGGGCTGCGCCCAGCACTGAAAAAGATTGCTGCTGCTGCCTGTCCCAGCCTAAGCCTGCCTCCTCTCATCCGATGTGCAGATCTGGGGACTCATACCACCGGGAGAGCTCCTGGGCTGTGCCGGACTGCTCCCAGGGCTGCAAGCTTTGGGTCAGGCAGCAATCTTCTCCGGTGTTGGGTGCAGCCTGCGCCCAGTGCCGGTCCCAGGTGGAAGAGGCAGCCTCCTCTCATCCAGGGTGCAGATTCGGGGACTCACACACCCGGGAGGGCTGCTGGGCTATGCCAGACTCCTCCCAGGGATGCGAGCCCCCGGATCTGTGTGCTAGATGAGAGGAGGCTGGCTCTGCTGCCTGGGACCAGTGCTGAAGCCAAGTAAGCCTGGCTTCGAAACTTGAAGTGCCCTTGTTTAGTTTAAAAGCTGTTTCGAAGCCTTTTGTTTCATTTTGATTTCACTGTTTTGAGCTCGAAACATGTTGAAACATCTTTGAAACAAAACATCTAGTGAAACTTCACACAGCCCTACAGAATAGGTCATGCAGAAACATCAGAGAGTCAGTGATAATTAGTTCACCCTTGGCACCTCATGGATGCTGCTGCTCTGCTTCCTGGTATTTCTGGATATCGCACACAGAGAAGCAGTGTGCCAGAAGATGAAGCTGCCTTGCATGATATGTCTGCAATCTATAATTCTTATATCAGAATACTGCCTGGCAGGGGTTGGCAACCTATGGCCTGCGGGCTGGATCTGGCCCAAAAACATCCAATCCAACATGGAGGAAACATGGTGGCACAAAGCTGCACAGTGCCAGCCATCCTCTTAACAGATATTCCCTTCACTGTGGAACTTGCTGCTATGCTATGTCTGCATTTCTCTTGCTGTGGAGGGGGCAGGAATCTGCAGTGACAGGGAATGCAGGTAGCTGGCTGCTCTGGGGGCTGAAGACTTTTGGTGCAGAGTTACAACCAGGTTGCAAGTTCTGGCATTGATGTAAACATTGTAAGTATGTATCATGGAGCACTATGATGATTTTGTGGGGTTCTAACATTTTTCATCAAATAGAATTGATTTCTTGTTCTAGTCTGGATAGAATTACCTAAGCATCTGTAAAACAGGAATAAGCACAGTAACAAAGCAGAAATACATTTAACAGGTTTCAGTCTAGCTGCTTAAGAACATAATTAAAATTGAATTTTAAAAAAGCAAAAGGAGCAAACCGACCTGTGGTAGCTGAGGACTCTGCCTGCCAATCAATGTCCACTGACCATCTCTCACTCTGTACCCACTTACTACCTTACCTACAACAAAGAATTAACAAAGAATTAACCAATTCATGAGTATCAGATGTAACAATTTAGGAGGCAGAAGAAAAAAAACAAAAACAACAGACACTGTAGATAATGTTTGATGGTCTAATACAGTGCTAAAACCTCAACACAGGTAATAAAACTCTTACCTAATCGGTGTGTGTGGACTCTGTAGGCAAACAGGTGCATTGGATACCTTTTATAATGGCAGGCAATATCAGCATCAACCACTGTTATGATATAAATAGGGATACAACATTTTAAAGATGTTACTTATTGAGCCAAGGGATTACCTTTTTTTATTATTTCACTGAAACATACCAATAAGGAAATTGTGTAAAAATCCGGGATCTTTATCAAATGACAAAGAAACATTTCTAAAAACACAATGGCTAGTAGTATCTTAAATTTCTATATGGGGCTTCCATGCTAATTGATCCAAGGATTTTTACAAAGAAACTTGTGTGTATACAGGTCACTTCAAGAATCACTTGATTCCCTCTCAACTGAACCTCAGCAACTGTTTTACAGTCTATGCTGCCATAGTTTAACGTGCTAGTACTATAAATTTACTTTTATGTTATGGTACTGAGCATTGCAGGAAAACAGTAGTCAGGAGAGACAAATGGGATTATCTATGTTCCTCTTACTTGGTAAATTAAGAGTAATTTAAAGAAGATAGCACTGAAGATTTTATTTTAAGAGATCATCTAATCATACAGCAGTTTTCAAGAGCTAAAGCCAGATTCAGGAGTAGACAAAGGCTCCAGATGTCATAATTGTGAGATACATACACATTTCCTGCTACAAATTGTAGTATGAAAGACGTTAATAGGATTCGTCGTTAGGAAAATAACGGCTGATCTGCCACAAAAGTGGCAGATCCTTGACAAAGAAGTTGTTGTTTATGGGCCCAGAACTTTAAAGGGTGTGCTAACAGCCCAGCATCAGGGAGCAGCTTTCCCAGTGCTGGGGTGCCTAGGAGAAAGGTTTCCTTGATTGGCAGTCCATCACAAAACTCTCTCAGGGGCATCCTGCAGCTAACCACCTCTTCCTATACCAGTCTGCTGCACAGGTTGGAATTATAACAGCTTTAAAAAAAAGACTAGTGGTGCACCGGTAGAGATTTTGGGGGGCCGATACTGATAGCCAATTTTTAAGGAGGCATATTGGCCAATACCAATCCAATTTCTGATACAGCTGCAGCTGCGTGCAAAGTCTGTTGTGGTGGAAGGGGAGGGGGGGGAGAAGGGGTGTGGGGGGGGCCGATCAATGCCTCCTGCAGTGAGGGAGGCTGGGAGCAGGGGCAGGCGCTGCGGAGGTGGGGGGGGGGGGGGGGGGGAGGAGGCCCAGACCTCAAGCAGCAGGAGGGAAGGGGGAACAGGCCTGGACTGGGGTGGGGGGGCCGGGGCTCCGTCCCCATCCGCTGCCCCCCCCCTCATTCTTGATGGGCAATTAGCTAGTATATATATAAATGTGTGACAGATATAGATAGATCTATATCTATCACAAACATTTTTTCCTTACATATATAAGAACATATAGTCATAGGGGTTTTTTTTCTCTCTCTCTCAACTTTTTAAACAAGTAGTGGGCCATTTTGGCAAGAAATGTTATATATTTCTTTAAGGGAAAGGATGAATTAAATTATAAATGAAATGTCTTTCAGAGTTGCCTCCTGCTTATTCATCTTTAAAGAAAAAAAATCAAATCTGAGACAACTTTCAGCTTCTACTGCATTGATGATAATTTTTCTCCAATATTGCTAGGCTCTCTGAAGTTAGTCTGCTAGAAATTTACTACAAATTTAAACGTATAGTCATTATATCATATTTGTTCCAGCTAGTGATAAACTCCTGTACCTATACTTTTTTAAAAAATAATTCAGAGACTATAAATTATCTTGTACAATAAACACCCAAACACACGAAGGTGAAAATATAGCCATTCTTTTAGAGTTTGTACTCACCTTTTTCTCCTGGTGGTATAACAGTATTCACAGACATCATAAGATACATGCCAGCAATCAAAGGCTGCCTGAAAAATAACAACTACATTTACTTCAAAACCCCTACACAACAATTCATTTGTAAAATAGCCCTCTGCAGGCTATATGATCCATTATTCTTTTGAAAGGTCCCTTGGGGTACCAATTTTAAAGTGTCGAATTATTATTATAAATTGGTTTCCATTTGGAGAAACAAGATGTTAGAGTCTCTCCCCTATTTTTAGGCAAATTTTGATAAAGGCCTATACAATAAGACAAAAACAAAGTTACTTAATGTCTGCATTTTTCTAAACTCCTAACACTATTCTGTGCCTACAAAACAATATTATAGTAGTCAATATTGTGATGAATGAAGCTGGACGCAACATGTTTACACTGGGAAAATGAACATTTACATCAGTGTGAAAAAAGTAGACATACAACCTAGAAATGTACAAACATAACTGGACTCAAACTTGGTGGAGAGTTATCTTGGGGAAAACATGGTAAAAATAGATAGGTGTAAGTTACACCACAGCAGGTATTGTGTATTATTCCAGGGTATTAACCCTTTGCTTAATGTAGGCTAACCTTATGATGACATGTTATACTAAAGCCTACTATAGCATTTACCATGAGCTAACCCGTCTCCGATATGCTTTGGGTCCCAGTGTACTTTACACCAGTCTTCTACATCAATGTAACACGCAGCATTTATATATCAAGTACCCAGACCCTATATGTAGCATGATATATGAAAGTTTCATAATGTAAAAACATTTTTATTGACAGGCAAGTTTTTGGTGCATTTCATTTTAAAACTGAAAAGCTATTCAAAACTTGTTTAAGTGTTCACCTACTTCTCTATGATTTCAGGTCCTCTGAAAAAACAAAGGCTTCTTCCAACCAGAATTTGTAAGAACACTCAACAGATACAGGTCCCTAGATCAAACTTGGATAAACTCCAAGAAACATCAAACATACTTACTTCTGATGTGTCAGATGTAAAGTTACGCCAGAACAATCCTTGTGGTTATCTGAACAAAACATGAAAGAGCATTTTATCTGTTAATAATTGAAAGTGGAGGGATTGTGGTTTGAACAACAATTCAGTAAGCAGATGAAAAAAAGCTGTTAAAAATAATACTTTTTTGATAGGAATATTACACTTAGTCTTATGCTTTAAGCTTGTTGAAATTACATTTGCATCATGGTCCTATACACTGTAAAAATATAATATTTATTATTCAGAGAGGTAGAGACTAAAAAAATATAATGTTCACTTTAATTTTTAAAGCAAAAATATAGCTAAATTCTGCTGGGTAAACACAGTCAATGGTACCATTTATGTTTTGGCAGGGATTAAAAATATAGAAATTCTGTTTGAGGAGAGCACATTTTTGACTAATTTATGACATAAATCAGTGAAAATAAATACATTTACAGAAGAGAAATGTCAACTTTTTATCCACTAACAATGCCTTTACTGACAGAAATGGTTGGATTCCCTCATCATAAAATCAGCATCTGCATTCAGATACTGTACTTGAGGAAAGTAGTTTTGCACAAGAAGTGCGTAACCACTCACATTTTAGTTTGCCCAGAACCATTAACCTCTTACAATCACAAGCTACCCAATAAAATTTAACATTTTACCAACAAAGCTGCTTGCTTGATATTTAGTCAATTTCAAAACTTAAAAGTAGGTTTAGATATTTTACCTGCTGGTTAATTTTGCTTAAATAAAATTCAGGTAAACCATAAAGTGGACAATAGTGATAAGTGGACAATGAACCAGCACGAGTTTCATCATAACATTACTTTTCTGGAAAACTGCATAGGCACAAAAAAGAAATGCTAGATGAGTGAAGAAATCTGCTAAAATATTCTTGCTGGGTTCTCATATCTTGCTCACCACAGTATCTGAATATTTTTTATTTCTTGAAATTACTTTTGGGGGAACATCTATTTCTGAAGCAAACACATGAAATAGTAAATAATTGGCACCGCATCTTTAAAAACACAACAACAACTAAAAACCCCCTCTCCTTGATAAGAATAAGAGAAACAACAATTGAAGAGAGAGCTTCCTCATCTTATTTGCTGATAGGCATGATCAAAACTACTCATTTACTGTAGGTGCATCAAGTGTGCAGAAGGCAGCATCTAATAAGGCTTAGAAGTAAGAAATGCGATGAAGCAGAAACAAAAACAGCACAGTACTCAGACAACAACCCACAAAGAAAAGCAGATCTTTTCAATGTAAATGACATTCTCACTCTACTACCCTGAAGAATATTATTTACTCATTTTCTTCAATAATAAATTCCAACTGTTTTTCTCTGAAGATTTTAATATCTTAAAATTTTTGAAACTCCATGGAAAGATTTGTTGTCAGTTCTCAAAGATCTTGGTTCACTTTGAATATTTAATGTTAGTGTGGGAAAAAGAGTAGGGGGAGGGAAGGGAGAGGGAAACTGAAAACTAGTGTAAATGAGTTAAAAAATAAGAGACAAACAGAAATACAAGTAACACTGACTAGAGAGAAAGGGGCAGGAAAGAAAACAAGAAAGAAAAGTAATGAAGATATTTCATGCTAAAAACAGTGTTATATATTAATCAAAGATAACCGATGCTGTTTCCCAAAGGAAGTCAGGGATCAGAAAGCATGATAGATCAGAGCCCTGACAAAAGCAGCAGAACTAAAGAAAAACAGGTACAGAAAATATAGAAAGATCTCTTCACTTTCTAAGGCACTTCTGGATTGAATGTATTTTTCCTCTAAACCTTATTTTCTTCAACAAACTGCAAGTTCATTCACTATTTCATCAATTCTTTTGCCTTTTTAAAGATTCAGATATTTGAGGTTCAAGTGGGCAGAAAGGGGGCAACTTGTCTGTTTCCTTCTCTTTGTTTCAATTTATGCTAGGGAGACATTTTGATGTTGTACAATACTAGCTGCACTATCACAAATGTTGGCTTGTATACGCAAAATTGAAAACATTTGCTTCCACAGAGGATGCTTTGGATATGGTTTTATAGTTCCTTTTCAAATGTGATTAGCAACAGTGTGGCTAATAATGCATTTTTAATCTTAAATCTTTAATTTTAAAATTGTCTTTCCAGTTTGTCACTTGGGTTACTCCTGCACTCTGGCTAGCTTTGCTCCTTTCATTTTATATTTCAACTCTATAGCAAATTCACATTGCTCCAGGACAAATACATTATTAGCTTCTACTTGCCCTGTGGCAGAAAGAGGAAATGCAGTCATCCACTTCAGAAACAGGTTTCTTTCAAAGTTAATTCTCTATGCAAAGTTTCCAACAGAGATCAAACAAGAAGACTGTTCTAATCAGTATGTTTCAATAGTGCTTTTGAAATGCAGTATGTGGATAAGGAAATCTACTGCTATATTATTTGCTTTTGTTGATCTCTTCTGTCAAGGCAAAAAATGGTGCATCTTAAGATGCAATACAGGCTTTGAATTTAAACATATTTGTTTTGTAATTTAAAGTGCTGATAATGTTAAACCTAAGGCCTTGAACATTTCTAGTGGAGGAAATTTTTGAGAAATATCTACCATTATAAATCTTTCTAAGGGGAAGGATAAGTACAGGAATTCAACCTGCAGCTGCTCCCTTTCCCTGGCTCTCCACACTTTCCTCACATGGGGGATCAGTTTGGGAAAGGCAAGGGAAGCAGCAGTTGTTCCAATCCTCCAAGCCCCAGTGAAACTGGAGTAGAAGGGCAAAGCCCCTTGCTTGGTTCCCAGAACAGGCACTCCCAGTCTAGGGACCCGGTGGGGTGTGGCTGCTCCTCCATGGCAGGGCAAAGCAAACCAGCGAGGCAAAAGGCACACAGTTTAAAAAGCCACACAGGAGAAGAATCACCCCTCCCCCACCATGCAGAACATTCAGGCTAGGGACAGACATTCAAAAAGCCTGAGCCTGAATTGACTCAATCTTTTCAGGTTAATCTAACCAACTTAGGTTGAACTGGTTTGGACTGCACAGACATCCCCTCTAAACTGAAGAAATGAAGGCACATGCTTACAGTGGCTCAGGCTAGAAGCCAAGGGGTGCTAAAGCAGCCATCCCTTCCCTTCTACAGTGCTAAGCTGAGGGCTGGGGGTGGCACGGCATGGCTAGGCCCCAGCAGGACCCTCTGATTAGGGAGGGGGGTAAACTCCCAACCTACCTGCATTGTCCCAGGCTTTGCTCCACGCGCTGCTCAAGCGGTGGGAGTGTTGCCAGACCCCAGAACCTGCCTAACACTCTGAGGCAAAGTGGGGGGGGGGGGGGGAGTGCATGCATCTGTTGATGATACTGAGCTTTTCAATGTCCCTCTGGGATCTGGGGACAGACACTACAGGGACAGGGTCTGGGACAGACAATACACTACATAAACTGATTTGACCCAAATCATTTAAGTTTGATACTACATTCAACCAGGTTTATAATAAACCAGTTTCAGCCATTTTGAAACTGTTTTATGTGCACTGAACTTATGTTCTGTTACAGGTTTAAACCAGTTTCTGATCACTTAAACTGGTTTATGTGTAATGTCCTTCTCTAGCCTCAAAGACAAAGCCTGCAGCAGGAGGAATGGCGAGGCAAAGCCCCCAGCCCATTCCCCAAACCAGGCAGTCCCTGGTCTGGGGAAGAGGCAAAGGGCATTGCTGCACTGCTCCCCTTCCCTCCCAGACCAGACTGGAAGAAGAGCATGGAAGTATTCATTCTTGCAAGAGAGTTTCTTCCCAGAGAAATTGATTGAATGCTTGGTCACTACTAAGTTTCTACCAGGAGAGCGGTGATTCTCCTGGTAGAAACATCATGCCTCCATGTGGCCTAAGTCCTGTACCCAACATGTGCTCAATTGGGTAAAGAGAGCTTTTGTGTGGTATGTTTTATACTTCACACCAGATTTTCAGGAGAAACTTACTACTAAGTACTAGAGAAGGTGAGAAATTTTCAAATAGAAGGTGCAGCCTTCAGAAAATGCTAGTTCACTGAAACTAAAACACTCCATGATTATGTGTTTTGAGAAAATTTCCAATGAAACCTGCCTGGTTTCTTGCCAGCTGATCTGCAAGCTGCTTTTTGAGAGCTCAGCTCTGCAGGAGCTTGCTCTAAGAGGCTACCTTAGAGCAAGGGCTTCCAGGTTCCCCAGAAGCTTGCCTGGAAAACTGCCATGAAACAGGGGACCTCTGCCCTAGATATCATCTCTGGTATGCTGCCTACAAGTTAGGGGCTTGCAGGCTGTCGGTGTCCCAAACCCCAAGCTGCCACAGGGCAGGCAATTTGAATGGGGTCCAAGCTCTGAAAAGGAATGTTTCACTTTGAAAAACACCAAAATATTCCCCCTGTTGGATTACTTTAGTGTTGGCACCTTGGGAAGCATATCAGCTGATGCTGGACATGATACTAGGAGTGGCAGGAATTGTGGTCTTGCTGTTCTAATTTGCTTCTATGTTATTCATAGCAGGATTTGTGTTTCCATTTTTAGATATTTTAACTCTTATTTACATTAGGTGCTACATTAATGAAAGACTAACTTAGGAAATAAGAGTCTTTGCCTTGCATCTGGAACACAGTAAGCACAAATCCTTTAGGATTTGTATTTTTGATCAAATGCCTTATATCCATTTCCTCTATCAAATCAATGAATATTTTCAGCCAAATAGTTATACTCTAAAAAAACAAAACAAAACAATGAGAATGCATACAAGGTACCTTCTTGCTCAACAGATCTCATCCCTACATGAATTCAGAGCAGCGTGTTTTATACATAAAATTGCAATCCTGTTTTTATTATTTAAATTCGTCTTAGCTGTGCTGACTCAATATGAGTATGAAAATGTTAATTGGATTTTATTTCTTCATGTGAATTAACAGAAATGTCTACTTATTTCTAAATCAGTTACATCTACCCTAAGCAGCTTTGATAGTGAATGTGCACAGCTACTGACAAGACAGTAATATGGGTTGCAGAACATTTTAAGTCATGGTGACATGTGGAAAGGAAAACTTAGATTGAC